CAATCTACCCGATCACACCCAAAACTTACCTCTGTGAGCATGATCAGACTGCAAGGCCGGTCCCATGCAGGAATGATCAGTCAATAGCAGCACAACTAAATCCAAAGAAAGACCCACACAAAATGCAGACATCCCCCACGCCTCGTAATAATGCTGTGATGCCAAAGTCCAACCCAGGTTATAGAAACGCGTTTTCAATACGTCACTTCTGCGCCGGAAATGTGGTGAAATAGGACAAATCAATCGGAATCGGTTAGCACTATTCCTCACGTCGATTACATTGGTTGCTTAGAAACGCATGTACGAAAAAATATATGCAGACGAACGCTATTGCCCGCAACATCTGGCATCGCATCCGGTAGCAACGGTTTTTGGTCAGGGTGTACTTCCTTCCTAACGTTAGAAAAAATCATTGTACACTATTTGTCGTGTTTAAGGCAGGACATATCGTAAATAATCACAAAACAGGTAGATTCATGCTCTTACTTTCAAACTTTTATAATTACGATGGCGAGCTCCCGACCGCCGCACACACACAGCACCCGCGATACCGGCGCCATTACTGCGCGCGGTCACAACATTACTGCGCATCAAGCAGCATCAAGAACCATAAAAATGTACCGGGCCAAGGTAACAAGAATCCATTACATTTGATCCTCGACGCCAACGGGACGATGGGTTGCAGAGGGATTGGGTGGGGAATTATCATTGGTATCACAGCATCCACCATCATGCCGTTGCAACTATATTCAGCCTGAAATCCCCAATACAGTGGTCACGTGCCTTAAACTTAGCTACAAAACATCGCATGACTACAAAGTCCTCATGAGTCTCAAATCATTGATTTTCTCCACACAGAGCACGCCCCAAGCGAGCGCAGAACACGCCCGCCCCTTGGCTGAGGGAACATCGCCAAACAGATCCAATGGCTTCATCGCGATGGGGCCATACCCTCTCAGCAGACAGACGGGCCATCCGCAGCATCCGAGGGTAGGCTTTGCGCGGCGCGTGCTGGCACGGCGTCAGCCTACGGGCTCACCATCTGGATCTGCTTGCTGTACTGCCGCAGCTCCTTGTAAAATGTGATGACAGCCGCCCACCAGAACCAAACCAGAACGATCACTCCAAAGCCAAACACCACCGCCGCTGAAATCACGCCGGGATGCCCGGTGGTGATGGCTAAGGCGAATGCGGCGAGCTGGCCCACGGAGAAGAGGCCGAAGACTGTGCCGTAGAAGATGAGCCATGCGAGTATCATACCGGGACGGTCGTTATCCACTCCATGTATCAGAAGAATGTTGAATAGTATGGGCACCATGGCGCAAGCTGTAGCGATGCCCATCAGGATTTCAAATGCTTCCGATGGGTAAATTCTTGCCGAGGAGGATTCTGTGCATGCCAATTGCGTTTCGAACTTACCGCAGCCGTTTTGGCTGGGATACAGGCCTTCGGGGTAAACGATCCATGCGGCTGTTATTCTTAGCAGATTAAGTATATCCCACAAGAGAAACACGCCGATGGCCTTGGTGCCACCTCTCAGACCGCAGCAACAGCAGCCTGTCAGCCCCATTCTAATGAGTGGAGAGTGACGCTCAGCACTTCTGGCGACGGCGTGACCAGCTGCGCTAGACGACGAGACGGCCCCCACCCTCGGATGTCCACGGCACAGTAAAGCCGGCCACGGCGGTCGTGGGACAATACCCCACGGCGGGAGGCCCCATCACGGCAATGCAGCGCACAACTCTTACGCCACCTTTGGTAGGTAGTTTATTAAGAATATTTTCTAGTGCCTACTAGACTTTAGATATAACTGGTCAAATAGCGCACATACATCTTAATTATATAAAAAAATACACACTCAGTGCGGATTTGATTGATCGGTGTTTTTTAAGTTCTCCCTTTGAATAATATATCGCGATATTGTACGTGCGGCGTTATAAAAAGCTATATAATAGCCCGGATATGTCAAGGTGCATGTGCTGTGACCGTGTATCTATGAATGTGACCAGCATGAAAGGAAACTGAATTCAAAATGGGTGAAGGGACAAAAATAAATTATTTTTGTTTGTTTTTACGATCAGAAAAGTATCTGAAGTGGCTGTGACATATAAGTTTAGCAGAAGTCATATAGGCTTCTTATTTCTACTACTAGGTAGAAGTGAAATAAAAATAATTTAAGGATCATCGGCAGCTATGACGCGCGTAAGGCGTTACTTGTGCAAACTCAAATCGAAGACAATTTTCGACGAAAATAAAGCGGGGTGCCCTACTCCTGTGGTACAGCGCAAGGCCATGCGCGTTATAAGAGCAGGGTAGCAGTGTAAGTTTTTATATTGTGTCGATTCATGCAGTTGTTACAGACCAGGGCAGATCAACAACGCCGGCTTTGGGGAAGAGGAAAGCTTGGGGCGGAAGCCCTAAAATGTGTTTTGATTGTCATAACCCCATCAAATTTCGCCTCTTTTTAGCTCAAAAAGTACTCCAGAACCAACTCCTCTCAGTGCAAATTACCTTGATCGCTTTTACAACCTAGCATTCATCATTCTTGCATGTATTTGAATATTTCAGAATCAACTATGGGTAGGGTGTCTCTCCAGGGCCACACTTGCCTACAGATCTTCAGCATGTCATGCATGTTTGTGTAGGTGCAGCAGTGTGTAAGACTGCATCATAGTCCTCATTTTTCATCAATTTTATGCTGCTATATTTCATAGTGGAATATTTGTATGGAGAATTGAAGTGAATGAAAAGGTGAGAACTTATGGCATATTGTGCTGAATGTTTTGCATGGTCAGTTGGCTTTTGCATTAAATTTTGTTTAGTTGTTGCCTGGAATAAAGATGTTGCCAATTCTAAGGCATTGTAATAGGTGATATCCTCTGATTGGCATCAGGCAGAAGATTGTAGCTAAATGGTATTATATGCAGAGATTTCAGTGCAGCATTTCCCATCAATAGTTTGTGTCCTTGCAGGTAGCTGGAAAAGATGAAAAACACCATTTATGCTGAAGAAGTTCCCACTGATCTGACTGGATACACACTTGTGCTGGTAAGTGTTGAGTCTTATTCTATATCAGTTATGACCTGATAAGTACAGTATTATGAGTATGTTAAATGATAATATATATATATATATATATATATATATATATATATATATATATATATAATATATATGTATGTATGTATATCCACAAAATTTGGCAAAATAGGCCAACTCTGGGTGCTGGACCAGTCCAGCAATGTGCACTCTCTGTGGTAGGGGGCACAACAATTGTCCTATGGTTTGACATATTGCCAGAATCATATTACTCAATTTTGTCACCCTTTGGCTATGTTCATGTTCAGCACTGTTCATCTGTGTGTTCAGCCTTAGCTTGTCTGTTCATCTGTGTGTCTGGGGTTTCAGCCATCAGTGAGCGTGGGTAACGTGGGACAGCTGGCAGTGGATCTGCTGCTACACAACCTGGCCTGCATATATGTGGGCGCCTTCAGTCACCCCAGTGTGCAGGCCGTGGTCGGTAGCGTGCCAGATGACAGCACTGGTGTGCCTCGCCTTATGACCGCTGTAGAAGGTATGACAACAAGGAATGGTAGAGGGCCTGTAAAAGGTAGGGCGGCCATAGAAGATTGGGTGGCCCAGAAAGGTGGGGCATATGGAGAGGATAGCTTGGTTAAAGAAGGTAGTGTGGCTGTAGAAGGTGGCGGCCGGGGCCGGGGGGGGCCGGGGAAGATAGGGCGTCTACCGGGCTCACCGTCGCTGTCACGTGGCGCATGTGCTGATGTGCAGCCTTGATCTTTTTTGGAGCCATGCCATTATATGGCATTGGGTTAGAATGTTGCAAGAGAAAGAGACAGCAAAATATGAGAGAGGTGACTTTATTCTTCATGGCAATTTTATACCAGCAAAGAACACTGCCATGGCAACACAAATTTTGCTGGCTGAATTTTGGTAATAAGTTCAAAGGTTCAGTATCATGGAAAGAATGAGGCGAAGTATTGTTATGAGGGATGGAATAATAGTTCGGACTTTGGCCTTCGTCTGGTGTTGGTTCGTTATTCTGTGGGGTTTAAAGTATTTTGCGAAGCATTGTGTGCGTAGTGTGGCACTTTACTAAACGTCAATGTTTCTGGCCCCCTGTTTGCGAAAACCAACGCGACAGATGCTGCCTGCGTGAGCTGTCGCCAATGGTGGCGTCCCTGGTGGATCTTCATTGTTCAGTCTCAGACGGCTGTCGTCTGATGTCTGGTGCTGATACCCCGTTGGGGACCGCGGAGCAGGTGGCTGGAATTGGTCCTAGGCTGTGGTGTGGCATCGTATTTGGTATCTCTTACATAAGCACAGGCATTCGGTCAGTCACCGGACGTTTTGGGGGTACAGACCATCTTTGGAATTATTAAATTGCCATCATTGAGTTACTTAAGTGTGTTTATGTAAGATGACCATGATCATTGGGCTAATGCTAACCTTCGCGCACGCCTGCTTTTGCAGCATACGTGTGCAAAGACAAGCAACTTTTTGTCATCCAGATTCGCTCTCCCATCTCCCCAGTAAGTACAGAAAGGTGGGCCCTATGGTCTCACCTGAGCTGGATCGTATCCCAATGTCTGGAAAGCCGTGCAGTGAGATCTGCTAGTTTAGTGTCCGGCTCGTATTTCTTGACGTGTTGTCAAAGCTTGACCCGAGGTTCAGCCCCGGTGGCACAGTATCGCTGCAGCGCAGCACTGGCGTCCCGCAGGTCAGTGCTGCGACGCCCCGCGGATCACCGCCGGTGCCGGTGCCGTAATGTGCGCCGGCCAGGAGCGCGACTGACCATGTCGCCGACTCTGCGGCAGGAGGGCCGGCTGTCGCTGCTGGACGACCTGGTGGCGTGGGCGGCGGCGCGCGGCCTGGCGCGGCTGGTGCAGCTGGCCAGCTGTCACGCGGCGGCGCGGCCAGACCCGGCGGCACCCGTCCTCTGCCGGCTGGCCTCTACCGCGCTCGACGCCTCGCCGCTGGACGCGCTGGCGCCGCCGCAGCCGGCCGCCGTGCCGGCGGACCCGGCCGCCGCGCCGCCACGGCCCGGCCTGCCCGGCGCTGGGTTCGTGTCTGACCTCCACCGGATCTGGTGCGTGATGCCACCGACAGGTCACGGGACCGTGTGGCCAGCAGGCGCGCGCCGCTGGAAACCAATCCATGTGGAGCGCCGGGTATGGCCCGATGTTACTTTAAAAATGGAATCGTGTAAATTTACATAACGGCCCTTATGGCTCGGTGGTAAGATCGCGTTAGTCAAAGCCTTGAACGTTGCAATATTACTCTTCAGAAGCCCAGCCATAAGCCCGCAGATGCTGACTCTGATGCGCATCACCGGTCGCCCTCCACAGCCGGACGGCCCTCGCCCAGAACTGACGCAGTCCACACAGCCGTCACCTCTGATCTGTGGTGTCCCAGACGGCCCTCGCCCAGGACTGACGCGGTCAACACGGCCATCACCCTTGACTTGTGGTGACCCGGACGGCCCTCGCCCAGGACTGACGCAGTCAACACGTCCGTCACCTTTGACCTGTAGTGACCCGGATGTCTCTTGCCCCGGACCTGTCCTGACTCACAGGCCCTCTGTATTCGGGGCCGCCTGCGCGCCTGAGGCGGCCTACGCGCTGGCGATGGGCCGCGTCGCTTGTGCTGACCCACACCGTGTGTGACCCCGCAGCGAGACCCGTGACATGCCGTATGTCTGCCTGCTGCGTCACACGTACGAGGGGAACAACATCCCCGAGGCTGTGTCACTCTGCGACTGTCTCGACTCGTGGATCGGTCCGTTCAACGTGAGTGATCTTCCCCGTTCTTGTTCGGTGGGTTCTCTTGCGCGATGTGGTGCGCGTGCCTCCGTCGTTTGCGGTGCGTACTCGACTTAGCAGTAGCCCAGTGGACCATACGCTTGCTTTAGCGTGCTGTGGTCGTAGGATCGTCGCATTTTGGTCCTGGAGATGCAGAAAACCGCTTTAGGGAGTAGGATTAAGTGACCACTCCAGTAGGGGATATGCTTATATGCTTTAGTCTTTCAGATTACATATGGATGATGCAATTACTGTAATGTTGATCCATGTCCATGGTAAGGTAATGTCGATGTCGATGAGCGGTATCGATAACGGGTGATTACCTGAGTTTTGATAATTAAGTGTTGGAATTTTAGCACATCCCGAGGTAAGTCTACGAACGCTGAGACTGAATCTACCATTTGTCTATACAACACTTGGACGTTGAGATGCGGTTACACTTTATAACTCATGCAGCGTCACTTCTAGGTAGACCCAAACTGAACCTGGTGTTTCTAAAGTATTGACTGGACCTATTACAACAATGTCTCGGTGTATTTTGCATGCAACTTGCAAAGACTGACGCTACCGCATTGGCGCCCACGCTAAAATTACAATTTTTCGAAACAAGGCAACGTAAATAAAATGCTTGAGGCACAAGGCAAGGTCACGAAGGAATCTGAGTAGCATGTACGCTGCAAATGTATTATTAGCGTTCTCAAAAACTAGTCTTAAATGGGTCGAATTCCTTTAAACTTTTCGTTCATGCTGTTTTGTTTCGTTTTTATTTCTTTGCTTGCTTCTTTCTCGGTGAACAGTGCGGTGTGGTTGAGTCGGTTGATGCTTTCAAAGGTCCTAGCACCGTCACTTTGGCAGACACAGTCCACTGACGTCTCCGTAAGGTGGGTTTGGCTGCCACACCAGCCGCAGCGATCGGCGACCGCCTGGGCTCAAGGCGTTGCAACGGCGTACGATCAGGGGTCAGGTCAGGACACCTGTGCCCATGTCAGGCTTGCCGACCCTGTCCCCCGGCTTGAAGAGTCTTAACCCCGCTCCTCTGCCGCAGGAGGTCGCCCACCCTCGTCCGGCTCGGCCTGGACCCGCTTCGGTGCTCGGCCGCTGGAAGATGCCTCCCACCTGGTCGCATCTCTTCGGTGCAGCGTTGGATTCGAGGCTCTACTGACACGTGGTGGCAGCAGACACGTCGACGCAAGAAGGCCTGGACGAGGAGTACGTCGCCATCAGCACGGCCGATTTCTCTGATAACCTCGCGACCTTTCTGCGTGTAAGCTGATTGTTTCCGCCTGGTTATCGTCGGGCACAAGGCGACCAGAACAGGAACGGTGATAATAAATGATGTCGAAAGGAAGTTTAAGCAACGGTCTGTCATTCATGATGGCCAATGTCTTCATTGTCGTGGTGTAGTCTATGGATGGCATCGAACTTTTCAGCGAATCAGGGGTCCTGGTCTCCGCGGAACGCGCCAAAGCACGGAGCATTCAAGGCAGTCTTTATTTCATACGCACCAATGCACCAGTGCTCGAGGATATGTCACAGCCGAGGCCTTCACTGGATATACACATACTCAAAGTCGGCCGTCTTGCCATTTTTGGCGTGCAACTTAAGTTTTCGATGAGCCTCGGACTAGTCCGAGCCCAGGCACGGCGTTAGGAACTGTTCGAAGTGGCCCAGAGCTACTGGGCCTGCACGTGCGCCCGCCCGGGCGACCGCCCCGAGCCGAGACGACTGGGGAGCAACATCAGAGGCGCCAGTCTCGGGCCGGCGACTCGGAACGCCGCTTGTTAGAGCCCCAGCTGCCGCATGGTGTCGTTGACGGCGCGCACCAGCTGGTCGCGGTACCTCTGCAGACTGGTGTCGCTCACCGTGTGCCGGTAGTAGTTGTCTCGACACTCGACAGTCAGTTCCTCCGGGCAGCTGGCGCGGTAGTGGTGCAGCAGCGCCTGGCGCGGCACCACGCGCACCTCGTGCTGCATGTACGGATAGAGCGGCTCCAGCGCGTAGTGGTTGAACACGGTGAGCGCGCCGCGCGTGCTGACGAAGCTCTTGCTGCTGACGCCGCGGCCGCTGAGGTTGGCGCTACGCTCGGTGTGGCGCAGCATGTGGAAGTGCTCGGGCAGGCTCGGGTCGGGCGTGCGCGTCATGTTGTCGAAGAAATAGACGTGGCGCACTGAGAGCGAGGCGAACCGGTGCAGCAGATGCGGATTGACCTCCTCCAGGTGGCTGAGCAGCGCCGGCCACGTGCGGTACTGCAGTGGCACCAGCAGCTCGTCCACGTCCACCGGCACCACGAACCGGTAGCGGTAGAGGCTGCGGTACAGGCAGTCGTTGTAGTGCACCAGCTCGTTCCGTCGCTTCTGCCAGATGGAGACGCGCATGAGGCGGCGCCGGTCGGGAGCGTAGTTGGGCTGGAAGCCGGGCAGCGTGACGTTCACCACCGTGGCCAGCCCGGCCGCCTCGTAGTGGCGCAGCACACGCGTCACGCGCTCATGCGTGGAGAACCGATAGAAGATGAAGGCGTCGGCGCCGAGCAGCCGCTGCGCCTCCACCCACTCGACTAGGCGGCCCGACACGTCGTCTGGCAGGTCGAGTCCCTTCACGCAGACGGCGAACCCCCGGCGGCGGCGCGTGCGCTGCCAGCGCCGCAGCGGCGCCGCGTCCACCGGCAGCAGCGTGTCGGCCGGGCCGCACGGCGCCGGCGTCAGCGCCACGCTGCGAGGCAGCCGCGCCGCCGAGCGCAAGGGGCACGACACCAGCACCGGGTCGTACAGGCGGCCGGTGTTGCTCGGGTCCCAGCGGCGCTCCCAGATGAGCTGCACCTGCGCCGGCACGCTGACGGTGCGGTTGGCAAAGGTCAGCTGACAGTGCAGCTCGCCGCTGTGGTAGCTATCGCGCATGGCAATCACGCGCACGTAGGCGTAGGCGCGGCGGCGCACACGCAGCCGCCGGTCCGGGTACGCCGCCAGCGCGTAGTAGGACGTGTTGAACGGGTGTTGCCAGATGTCGTTGTTGAGCAGCACGGGCAGGCGGCGAGGCGCGTCGCAAATCTCCCATTCGCGCGACCAGAAGTCGCGACGCAGCAGCTCGTCAACCGTCTCCGGTGCTCGGCTGGCGGTGGCCGGCGAGCTGGGCGGCGGGCCGACCGGCCCCCGGCCCGCGGTCGCCGTCCAGCGCAGCAGCAGCAGCAGCAGCAGCAGGCCGGCGACGGCGGCCAGCGCCAGGCGGCGCCGCCGCGAGGCCTGCCGTAGTCCGCAGGCCATGCTGCCGCCGCCGCCGGGTCAGGGTGTCATCTGACGCACGGGTAGGCGTTTCTGGGGGACGAGATGTTGTGGAGTTAAACGCACGGCGCGGGATCGCCGCATTTACCAGTGGCTCACAGCCGTTGTCGCCTGTATGGCGAGGGCGATGAAGACCATCCACAAAGCCTCCTTATGTAGCCCCCAAGCCTCGGGTGCATTCGGTGTTGAACGCACCTCCAATTTTTAAGTTTGTAATTAACTTTTTGTATAGATACTCCAAAATGTTAAGCGTTTCCTTCCCCTCCCTCCTCCCTCATGGTGCAATCAGTACCAAACTATTACACTCTACAGCCCTAAACGTGTCCCGTAAGCATTTTTCTAAATTGGACGACATAAATGTCCACGACATAACGTGTGGAGAGGCCTAAGAGCAATTCTTACGTCTTAACTACCTTAGGCCTCTTACATATGTCGCGGCTGAACTCTGTCAACTAACGCAACCTTTGCTCACGAACTCGCAAATGCCACGTCACCCGTTCCAACCCACGTGTCTCTAGCGACTCACCTGCATAAATTACGTTGGGGCTACTCGGTCACGGCAACAGCTGATGATTGCCGCTGCGTCTTGAAGTTTCCCATGGAACGACATCAGCAGCTCCGGGCCGCCGGTAGGTTCACCGATGTACCACGAAACACGTCATACAGGCGCACTTTCCACGTGCCGGAGGAAATCCGCGCAATTTCCTTGTGAATTAGCCTGCGCCAATGCCCAACCTCGTATTATGGTAACCCGCCACGCGCACACACCCCACAGCACGACGCGCGAGAGGTCGCTGCCCGACTGGAACGAAGCTACCCTCTGTGACGTCGGGAGGCCGCCAGCGATGCCAACCTCGCCCGGGGCTATGCCGCTCGCAGTGCCACCTGTTGGCAGCGTGGGAAGGCCTAAGCCTCCTCAGTCGGTCGGCCGCAGCCCGCACTGCGCGTCGGCGGGCCGGGAGGTTTTTGTCCGTCACGGATGACTGAAGCTGTGGGCTTCCTCGTTTCGCCCTCTCTGACCTTGGAAACTTTTTAATCGTGCACTGCTATGCATGCCCTCTCAAATGCTTCCGACCCTTATCTGTGCCCGCGTATCAACTTCCTCGTGTTAAGATGGTGGTCAAAGCTCCGTCAGCGTTCCCAATGACCCAGGTGGCTGCACCGGGTGCGGCGGGCGTGCCTTTCGATGCGGTGTGATACGGGTGTTTCATAATCATCGGCATCCCGTCTTATGTTGCGGTCAGCAGCAAAAACTGCATCGTAGGCCACCAGGACCGACGAGCTTTCAAAAATGGATGTGTGGTCACAAATGGCAGCACAGGCGGTGGATACGCAAGCTGCGACATCATCGCCAGGCTACCGAGACGCACGATTCTGATGGGTGGGGAAAAGGCCACCGGAAGCCGAGACTGCACATAGCGCTCGCGACCACATGCAACGCAAACTCTCCATCTGGCCATGATCAAACATTGAACAGCCTCACGACATTGGGGTTTCTTCAGCAGCACTGGTCTCAGCACGTCCTCGGATGCGGGGTTTAAATTTACCCCCCCCCCCCCCGCCCCATTAGGTTTTTCCGGAGCGGTTTCCGAACGTCGCGGCGTAGCCGCGCCAAATTTTGCGCAGCTACGGGCAATTGAATAGCGGATTGTTTCGTATCAAAAATTTAATGTGCTTTGTAAGGTCGCTGACTTATTATAAGTTAAAGCTAGGCCATGTTTAAGGGGAGTACATTTCTAGGGAATCGTTTAATCTGATGCAACAGCGGAGTGTTAGACAAATCCATACATCTCCGAGATGCTTTCTTAGGCAACACAAATGAATGAGCAAATTATATTAACCTGAGATCAGGTATGAAGGTCACACCAAGGTCAAAACCAACTGTTTTATTACTCTAGGGTTTGCTGTGTGGGTTAGCTTATGGTGCTCATTCAGAATTTATTGATAGAAGAAACTGAATTATGCATCGTCCATGGACTTTTTAGAGGTCAGAATACGTCGTTGACCTAAAATGATCCGGGCCAACATTTTATTTTTAGGAACATATTGCCTAGCGTAAACGTGGTCGCTTGTTGAAACGCAAGACTCAATTTTGTATAATTTGCCCACCATGAACTTCAAAAGGTCAAACAAGGTCACTGACCTCAAATGGGCACGTGGCCTTTTGCTTAGGAACAGTTACCTAGGCTCTGGTGGCACCTTGGGGATCAACTCGGAATTTGACCGTATTTGACCCGAAGGCCATGACCTAGTAACCTCAAACTTTGACCAAAGTGAGTTCACGTAAAGGTTAACCCAGTCACCTATGAATTTCAACCCTGCGAATTTCGTGTCTCAAGCTTTCTTAGTTCCTGAAATCTCAGAAGGGTTAAATTGACCCTCCGAGCGAATGGTGTCCAGGCGCCCACCCGGACGCGTGTTAAGCGGCCATCGGAGGGCTGCCGTGACGTTGCGCGACTCACCGGGAGGGGCCTTTAAATCATCGACTTTGGTTCCCTTTGCCCGAGAATACCACCTGTCTCGGCACCGACATGTCACCCTTCCACCGCTTCCCGGGCGGCGTCTCCAGCCGTTGCCGCGCCCACGACCGACGTCAACACCAGTGCAGTTCGTCAGCTGTATTTCACAGTCAGTCACACCCGGCGTCAGCTCGCCGCGTGCGCGCCATAAAACGCGTGCTCGTCGCGACCAGCGCTGCGCGGCCGGCACAGTCCACAGCGCCACACCACGCCTATCACAGATGTCGACGTCCATATGTTGCTATCGTATAGATATTTCCGCAGTCAAACAACAGGGCCGACGGCACGTCAGGGACGCACCCGCGCCGCCACCAGATTAGCACTCGACAAAAGGTGTTCGGAACACGCCGACGTCGGCGCACACAGACCCCCGCACCCGGACACGCCCGGCGCCGGCGAGAGCGCGCGCGGAGCGACGCCGCAGCGCCTGACAGACACCCCGCCTGCACCCTCAGAGCATGCGCACGCCTTCCTGGTGCCGTCCACCGCCTACCGGAGACGCCAGGTCGCACCACGGATGGGACGCCTGGCAGGACGTGACAGCTCCTCTCCCTCACTTTTCTCTAAGAAAGCGCGACTTCGGACGATTCTACGCGTGCCAGAGAGCGCATTGCACAGCCGGCTACGAAAACGGACACCGATTCGCCGACGGAGCGTATGGCGGCCGGATCCTCGTATAAACAGCCAGACCGAACACCAAGCGGACCGCGCCACCTGACGCCCCGTCGGCCGGCAGAGATCAGTGATCTGCACACTTGAGACGGCGCGGTCCGCCGGGCCGGGCACCCTCCGCGCACAGCGACGGCGGCACGAAGGCGTGTCACCCCCGCCACCGGGAGCGGGAGCGGCCAGTCTGCGCGGCGGCGCGGCTCAGACGGCCGGCGGCTCGCTGGCGTGGTTCTCGTCCGGCCGGCAGATCTGGTAGGTGATCAGGTACTCCGGGTAGGCCTGCCGAAGGCCGACCCACCGTCAGCCAGCCAGCTCCGCCCCCACGCCCGGTCACAGCGGCAAGCCCCGTCACGTTCCGTGGGTGCGCGGGGAAGACGGCTAAAAAGTCACATTGTTAAGTTCTGTGGAAACCTATTGAGCGCATGAAAGAATAGTCTCAACGATTAACAATTACTGTTTAGCTGAGATGTCGCCGGCAGCAGGACCATGACTCACCTGTTCTCCCCGGCACACCCCGTATCCGGGGAAGCGGTGCTATGACTCACCTGTTCTCCCCGGTACACCACATACTCGGGAAAGCAGAGGCCACCGGCGCTGGGCCGGCCCACCACGCTGTGGTGGCCGGGTGGCGCGTGCGCCATCTTCATCGCCGAAAACTGTAGGAACGACTTGCCCAGCGCGGCCCGACACATCAGCAGCTGCCTGCGGATGGAGAGGGGAGAACGACGGTTAGTCGCACCCTACTGACGGACCGCGGCCGTCACAGCACGTGTTCGATGACACTGCACACTCACGCGGCACTACAGAATCCAGCTTCTTAAAACAGACGACGTGGAGCGTGGAATCAAGACTGTCGCAGCGGGCGCCATCCAAAAGCCACAGGTAAAATTAATGTCTCTTTGTTTCATGCATTGCACGAACCATCCTGAACAGAGCTATCAAAATCAACCGCTGACGGCATCTTATGCCCAGAAACCTGCCAAGTCAAACGGCACTCGCAACAAGGCGCACTTCCACCTCTTTGGCACCCAGGTCTCCCCGTGATTTCAGAGACGAGCCGCTCAGTCCCCCCGCCGTCGACTTAGCACGCCACCTGGCCGTCGCTAGAGGCCCTCCCGGGTCACACAGGGGTCCCGGTCTGACCTGTGGCACACGTAGCAGGAGCGGTCCTTGTGTGCCGGACAGCCGGTGCCGCCGCCGATGCCGTGCACGTACTGATTGCTCTTGGACGAGTTCTCGGCGAAGTAGATCCCTGCACGAGCACACGGACGGACGGTTCGGTGAGATGAAGCGGACGACAGACGTCAGCTAGCTAGGCAATGCCAGGGGGCGGTGAGGCCGGATCAGAACAGGAGAGCACCCGGCAAACGCTCTAGCGTGTCAGCCCGCGCGCCTGCCTCAACGTTGTCCAGCCGACGAGACGCGCCGGACACTAGCAATGCTGCCCCCCGCCCGACCCCCGACAGCAGCGTTCATCTCGCTACTGTCGGGGCCCGAGTTCATCTCGCTGCTCCCGCCGGGCTTCCCGCTGACGCCGCTGGCGGCCGCGGCGCGCCCCACAGTCCCGCCACGGCGTCCAGCCGGCGCCACCCACCGGCTCCGAACATGCCGCCGATGTAGGCGTGCCGCTCGTCGAAGCCCTTGTGCACGATGGCGTTGATGAAGGGCGAGCCGTGGAAGAGGATGCGCTC